GCCAGATTCTTGGTGAATAGAGTATATAATTCTTTGTCAATATTCAAATTTAGGCAGAAATTCAAGAGTCTATTTATTTCATTTTTAAGCCTGTTAAAATGCCTGTGAATACATCTTAAGACTTAAATATTGTACAGTTCATGAGCACAGGTACTGGACTTCACCTTTATCTTAAAAAATATTTATGTATAAATTGACAGAAAGAAATGTTACCTCCCCTAGAAATGGTATCTGTATGCTAATGCACGCTCAGTAAAACTCCTTAATTTGAGCTATCAGACCTAACATTCTTCTCTTTCCCTCTCTTTCTCCCTTCAGACCTTCTTTCCTCTCTCCCTCTCTCCTTCCTTCCCTCCCTCCCTGTCTTCCTTACCTCCTTCCCTTCTCCCTTTCCTCATTTCCTCCTCCCTTTTCTCCTTCCCTCCCTGCCTTCCCTTCCTTCCATCCTTCCTTCCCTCCTTCCTTCCATCCTTCCTTCCCTCCCTCCCTCCTTCCTTCCTTCCATCCTTCCTTCCCTCCTTCCTTCCTTCCTTCCCTCCCTCCCTCCCTCCTTCCTTCCCTCCTCCTTCCTCCTTCCTTCCCTCCCTCCTTCCTTCCCTCCCTCCCTCCCTCCCTCTCTCCTTCCTTCCTTCCTTCCTTCCCTCCCTCCTCCTTTCCTTCCCTCCTTCCTTCCTTCCCTCCTTCCCTCCCTCCTTCTTTCCTTCCTTCCCTCCCTCCTTCCTTCCTTCCTTCCCTCCTTCCCTCCCTCCTTCCTTCCTTCTTTCCTTCCTTCCTTCTTTCCTTCCTTCCTTCCTTCCTTCCTTCCTTCCTTCCTTCCTTCCTTCCTTCCTTCCTTCCTTCCTTCCTTCCTTCCTTCCTTCCTTCCTTCCTTCCCAGAGCTGGGGATCATACCAAGGCTCTCATGCTTGCCAGACAAGTGCTCTGTCATTGAGTTATAACCCAACACTCAAGCCCTCAGACTGGCAAAATTTAAATGTAAGAAAATGATAGGCTCTGGGTGGGAGAACATTCCTTTGGACTGTCTTTCAAACCTGGCTAAATTCTCCACATTGAAAATTTCGGAAGGTTGGCAAGCCCTCAGTGGCAGCCCAGATCCATCTCTCTGTGCTGTCTGGACAACAGTGGCTCTCCAGGTTGGGAGAAGAGCATCAGAACAAAGCTCATTATTTTCTTGATTCCACAGGCACACAGTATACATGAAGAAAAACTCTCCTGCACAAGGCCTACTTCCTCTGTGAGAGTATTTTTAAAATGCTCTTCATTGCCAGTGGAAAGTGTGTACTGGAGAAACCTCTGAGACAAGGTGTCAGTGTGAAATTAGTTCACTTGTAAATAGAGTTTTAAAAGCAGCAGGTTAATTAACAGGACAGGCTAAACTCTCAGGAGAATAGCAGATGAGCATGTGGTATGGGGTGCTCATAATTTCCGTTAGTGAATTTGGATGCACACCCCACTCTTCACGGAGCTTGATACAACATAACTCAGAAAGAAATGAAACTCAGCAGACAAAAAGGCATGGAATCACTCTGTGAAACTGCCCCAGAGGACCAAGCATCCCTACTGCACATCTTTTGTTTCTGATTGGAGTTGTAGCCCTACCTCACTCTATCACCTGGCCTTTCCAGCCAGGGGGCCTCAGCATTGTCCACAGCCTCCCTTTCCTGTTCTTTCCCATGACCAGTTTATTACAAATCTTTGCGATTCTGCCTCAGAAACAGCTCTCAAATCCAGCCATGCCATTCATACTACAGCCAATACTTGGTCTAAAGCCTGATCACCTGGGCTACTTAATAGCTGTTTAAAAAATATTTTACTGAGTACTGCTCATTACAGCAAACACCAAGGAAGTACTAACTATGCACCAAGACGTGTTCTAAGAGCATCAATCCTCAAGCGATGCTATGAGGCGGGTGGTGTTATTACACGCCTGTTCCACAGAGAAGAAAACGGAGAACAGAGAGGGTAAATACTCCATCCAAGGTTACACAGCTGGGATGGGGTTCAAAATTCAAAAGCCACAGAGGAGGTATACTGAAAAGTCTCTTGCTTAAGTTCCCTCTCACCAGGGCCTGTTCTGGAGGAAATGACATCCTCAAAAATACCATGCTTCTCTGTTACTTCCCTCCCTTTCTCCTCCACCACACAGCCATAGAATGCCACACTGTCCTGCAGTACAGGGTGCACTTTGGCATGTTACCTTTTTTCACTGAACAATGTGTTTTGAAGATTGTTTCAAATCAGTACATGAAGAGCTTCCTCAATTCTTCTTCTTCTTCTCTCTCTCTCTCTTTTTAAAAAAGACTTCCATTAGTCTGTATTAGAAATGGACAGGTTTTTTTTTTCCCTCTGTAAAAGGCTGGACAATAAATATTTCAGCCTTTGAGGTCCATCTGCTCTCTGTCACATCCCATAAGCCGTCCTTATCTCATGGGTTGTACACAAACAGGCTATAGGTCAGATTTGGCCCACTGACTATAGTATGCCAATCCCAAACCTACAGGTTCTTTCTTGCTTTGCTTCCCTGGAGCCAGTCTTTTTCTATTCTGTTCTTTCATGACTATTCTAAATGAGTTACCTTCCTGATGCTGCTGTTGCTCCCCTAAGTCCTTCACAGCTCCCTACTCCCAAGAGAGTGGACTGAGGACTGCTTTGTGGTGTGTGCCCTATCCTCCCATCCAGGACTTCTCATCTTCTCTACGATGCCCCTACCAGCTTTCCTGGGACTCCTGCAGGGATCTCCTTGCTCCACAATTGCTATAAACCCTGCATCTGTCCATCCAGCCCCAGGAATGCAGCCCCAGGGATCTTTCACATATGTCAATGGCAGCTGGGCACATCCATTGTCCCAGAAAGAAGTCAATTTCCCTGTTGGCTATGAGCTTGGCCTGCTCAGCTAGGCCCTTCTCTCTCACCTCACTACCACCATCCTCCCTCCCCTTGCTCATCTTCTCCAACTGCGCTGATTTCTGTTCCTCAAACATGCCAAGCCCTTTTCTGCTTTTGAGGTGTAGTTCCTTTGGCTCCTTCCTGACTTCAGCCTCAGTTCAAAGGCCAGTTCCTTGAGGGAGGCTGGGCCTTTCCTCATCTGGCATCCACTTCCCTTCCTCCCCTCACCCTGCTTGGTTTACTTTGTGTCTCTGTGGCCATCTATAATCCTACTGACTTGTGTTTACAGCCCTGGCTCTGCTAGAACATGTGAGCATCTCCAGTGCCCAGTCCACTGTCTGACACAAATGAGCCATAAAAATTTTCTTATCAGTTGAACAGTTGAAGAATTTCAAGCCATTTTGCCTTTTCTGGTGTGCCTTCCTCACTCCTCAGCTTACATGTTAGTCTCCCAGTTCTTCCTCACCAATCACTAAACACAAATTTCCCTCTTAAAGTTTTACACGTCTCTGCACATTGACATTTCAGTTATTTCTTTCTTCTCTGACTGACAAACTCCTACTCATCCATCAACATGCGGTACAATGTTACTTCTTCATGGAGTTTTTATTCCTTCCCTAGCCAGGGTCAATTTCTTCTTAGTAGGCTCCAAAACACTGTACAAACCTCCATGATCACAGTGGGCCATAATTAGTTGCCTATCACAAATGTTTGTTTATTGATTTATTTATATTCTGAATATCCCCGAACTTTGTACATATATACAAACCCTTTTCATTTTGTCTAATGTGAACTTCTTCAGGGCAAGGGCACCTTGAATGGTGTCAAATATGGACATTTATAAATATCTTTCTCTGTGCTAAGTGCTTTCTGTATAACAGCTCATTTAAACACTCAAAATGGGTCAAATGAGGCAGGTACTGCTATAATCTGCTCTTTAGAGTTGGGGAAACTAAGCTCAGTGAGGTTCAGTAACTTGTCCCTGATGGGCTTTGAACTCACCCCCAGGCTGTCCTGCAGCCCACCCTGGCCCATGGTGGATGATGCTTGGAAGGCACTTGCTCTTAAGCTCTGGGTGTATCAGCACAGTGTGCAAATCTATCCTGTTTCCCGGCATTGGGACCTTGGGCAGCTCTGCTCAGAGAGGGGTCAGTGAGCTTCTTGCTCTCCTGCAGCAAGGTCCTCCCCAGTAGAGGCACAGATGTCCCTCTGCCAGCCAGATGGAGTGGCATGATGCCAGGCAGCTCTCTGCACACCTGTAACTGGGCCAGCTACAAGGGCAGCCAGATGTCCTTGGGGCCTGCCTCCTGCTGTCACATACTGCTCATCCATGTGCACATAAGCAGCTCTGCCAGCTTACTCCTGAGCTGACACCGAGGGACCACGGGGCTCTGGGCAGGAATGAGAAAGCTGAGGAGATAAAGGCAGAGGGAGCTGTGGTCTCTTCATCTTTGGGTCTCTTCATCTCCCCATTTAAATAAAGAACCTTTCCTTGTGAACTCCTATAAGGGAATGAAGCAGCAGGCAGCAATTGGTCTGCTTTCCCTGAGAAGTGCTGTTTTTCCTTACTGCAGGGTACTTCTAGGTCAAAGATGATAAGAGTACTGGAATATGCTGGGCTTCTATTTGAGGGCACTGTCTAACTCTTCAGCTCACTCAGGAAATTCTATCAAGATAATGGGTTTCAAATTATAACTACTAGGTGGGACAGTTGGATTGGTTGTGCCATTGAAGAGTACATGGAGACACAGAGTGTTAATTTCAGTCAGAGGGATAAGAAAGGCCAACAGGGTTTCACTGAGGTGTTGGCTGTGCTTTCTCTATAAAACTTTGTCATACTTTAAGATCTGCATTTTCATCCCCAGGAGATTCTGATGCATGAGTCACCTGACCTTACACTGAGGAGCAATGGCTCAGAGAATATCTAATAAACATGGAGGTTGACACCCATGGGACCCTGGTGTGGTACTGGGAAATATACACAAGAATGAATCTGATCCTATTTGGTTTCTACCCAGCTGGGATCTGGGGCCTCTGAGGAGCATACAAGGTCTGTGCTGTTGCGTTGAACATCAAGAAGAGCACAGTCGAGAACAGCAATGGAAGAGCCATACCTGGGCTTCTGCAGCTTCGATGCTGTGGGAGAGGCTTCCATTCTGCACAGGTTCGGAAGCATCACTGGATGGTGTCATTTCAACTTCGTTGCTCGTGCTGTTCGGGAGTTCGATTTTTTCTGTGACATCATTTAGATACATGCACAAAGAAAACAAATGGAATCAAGTTGGGTAAGAGACATGTTGAAAAGAACTTTACTTAAAATCCTGGGTTGAAGAAGAGTGGCATCTGAGAGTGGGAGCTGGTGTTGGGCTGAATGACAACAGGCTACCTGGTATGCTGCCCCTTTGTCATAGGCTTTGGCTTCCATTCTGAAGTGAATCGCCCATACAAAAATATAAATGCAACATCAGAAACCAAAGCCCACTCAACACAGGATACTGCATACCACAGGGAGGTAAGATGTCCAAGGATAGACACGAGCAGATAACAAAGCACCTCCCAGGCAAAGTATCTCACCCAAGATTGCTTTTACATGACAGTCTTCTCATGACCATAGAAAATATGAAAATAAACCTTTGGCTTACTTTGAAAAATATGAATTTTGGACTCTTGCTATTTCTAGATCTCAAGTCATTCACAGGTTCTACAACATTGGAGTTCCTTGGTGTTACGTGTTCATCTTCTCATAGATGATTCAATGCAGGCCTAAGGATGCCAAGCATTAAGAGGGGGACTGGAATGGATCCAGGCATCTAAGTCTTCTATTCCAATCTACTTCACTCCACTATAGAAATCAGCAAGTAGAGTAGAGAAAACGGCTCAAATTGTGGAATCTAAATATCCCAAGCAAAACTTAATGAGGCAATAGACTTTCATGGTGTGACTTCCCATTTTCATAAAACAAAAGCAAATATGCTTATCCTAAATAATATTTTCAAGTTCACAGACATGTAAAGAAACAGACTAAAATATATAATGCACAAATCTCAACTTTAACAAGTAATCATTGCTAACATTTTGAATCTTGACTGTTTCTCGGCCCCATTTTTTTCCCGAGCTGGAAGTTGGGATACCAGGAGAGACAGAAACCTTTCTGTGAGTGTCATGCATTTTGAGTGCAACACTGTAGAGTTTTGTCTGCAGATAATTTTAGTTACTTGGGCAATAGCTTTGTTTATAGTATAGATCCAGATTAGGTTAAATTTAGTTTGAATTTAGAATTAGAGAGCTATATTATAGTTACAGATAGGAGAAGAGGAACACCATGTTCCAAGTTAAAATAAGATGCCTGAATGTTACAATCTGGTCACATAGGAGCTCTGGAAAAGTCAGCCAAAAGGGATCTGGGCTGATATTGCTGAATTCTTAAGAAAGAAGAGGAAGCATCAACCTGAAGAGACTCTATTAGGGGGTGTCTGAGTGGTAACTTAGTGGGTGAGCTATAAATAATGTCACAGGTATAAAATTTGGTTACCAGGCAAGAATTACAGAAGAAGGACTCTCACCTTTGGTATCCTTGTGTGCAGAATCCTTGAAATGAAGAGATTATCTACTTTTGGATAGTGATACCTTGGTAAGAGTTGGTTAGAATCATTTTACTCCTCATGAATTTCCTAGTGATATGCTACGTCCATTCCTGCCCTGTCCCACTTGGAGAAGAGGGACTCATTTTCTCTTGTTTGGGAAAGGACTGAGCTGTAGACCAGTACTGTGTTGGCACGGGGTCAGGGGTACCTGCATTGGACCCTGCCCCCAGGAAAGCAGGGGATGGTATCTCTTTGAACTCACCCACATGATTAGCAGCCCCATTTTGCCTCTCATTCTCATCCACCTGGCATTTCTTCTTGGCGATCTTGTGGAGAATTGAAGCCTTTTCTCTGAACCTCCCTGAAGCAAGAGAAAGTGGCAGGAAGAAGACAGTGAGCGGGAAGACAGAGTCTTGTGGCAAAGGAGGTTGGGGAACACTGGCAAAGCAGGTATGTGACCGCTCCACTTGTACTGCATTCTAGCAGTGACCACACTGCTTGGTCCAAGCCCTCTGACCTGTGGGAGGGGCACTTTCTTACCTTTGTGGATTCGTCAGTTCAGTTCTCTATTTGAGAACCTCAAGATGCTGGACCATGATGAAAGGTATGACTTGGACCTCTTCCCTCCCCTCACAATTGCTCACAAAGTAAATGAAAACACCAAGCATCCTCCTCCTGCTAAGATCCAAAAGAGCTGCTCTGGAGGCATAGCCATCTCTTTGGGATGAAATTAAGTGCTCATCTCAGATCAGCTTTTGACAATGGGTTGGGAAGGAAAGTCAAGCCCAGGAATCCTTTGATTTGACTTTGGTGTTCAAGCATTTATCATAATCAACATTGCAACTTCTAAACGAGTCAGGAACAGGCATCACAGCTTTCCAGATCAGCTGATTCGGCTGCAATTAAAGCATCCTGGAGGCCACAGATTCCATTTGAGGATTTAGGGCAAAGAATGATCAACTGAGCACAGCAAGTAATGTTGGAGATGAGACACTTTGGGAAAGGTGCTGGAAAAAAAAATACCATTCTCAAGGTAATCATTTTAAACAGCTGTGCGACACTGTAATGCGTCATTTCTTCTTCACTGTTGATATAATTAATGGGTAAATACATGCAACAAGCAAGAAAATAAGCATGCAAAAGTGAAGAGATTAAGGAAACATACAGCATATTTCCCTTCCAGTCCCTGATTTTCCTCCTTGGGAATATTCAAGGTACAAAAGATTCCCATTTTCAACTGACTGATTATTTCCTAGACTCAGATGAGTTCCTCAAAATACCATATGTCCTACAATTTTCCCACTAGGCACTTTTTGCAGGCTGTGTTCCCCAGCAGCATACTAACAGGAGATGTCATTCTATTTTTTGAAATAGAACCAAATCAAACCGAAGTGTATCCTCTGGAGAGTCTCTCCTCTCAGGACAGGACATGGCTGATGGGCAACCACTTACCCCCCACACCCCCACTTGGGAAAGACCGAACCTGGGGACTCCAGTGGTGGAGGAGACATAGGATAAGGCCTTTCTGCTCATAACTTTGTTAGTCATAAACCCAGCTACACAAAGTCACCTCTAAGACACTGGACATCAGTGTGGGCGATGGCTGTATGGCACAAGGTATATTTTCAAAGATGGCAGGAAGGGAAATCCTGCACAGAGAAAAGGAGGCCATTATGCGGCTTGGATTGCAAAGGAAAGAGAAGGAAGGAGATGGGCATGGTGTCTAGTCTTGAGGAATGCTGAAAGTCAGCATCACCATACTGGAAGGGGATTCTGAGAGAAATCGTGGGAAGAAAAAGGGAAAGGAAAGAAAGTCTAGGACTAGGAAAAGGGGGTAAAAAAGAGCAAGGAAGGAAAGGACAAAGAGAAGAAGAAGGATAAGAGGAAGGAGGCAGAAGGCAGGGGGTGTGACTGCCTGGAGGTGGCCCAGGTGGCTCAGATGCCAGGTGCTTTCCTGGCTGCTAAATCTAGTCTTAGTTGAGGACTAGACAAATTTTAAGAGTTCTCTTCAATACTCTGCAGCCTTATGCTGAAAGAGGGGTTACTACTTGTGGAAGATAACTCCAAGAAGTCCACAAATCGTGTGCTTTTCACCCAGAAGAGGAAAAAGAAGGTTCTGAAACTTCACTGGATATGATGAGTCTACTAAAAGAAAGGACTCTATTCTGGTATCAGTATCGTTATTGAACTTAGATCATTCTGAAGCTTTATGAAATAAGAATGATCAATATTTGCTACTTGAAAACTATATGTAAAATAATAACAAAGTAGAAAAGATTCAGAAGAGGAAACAAGCTTGTGAAAATCAATCCTGAAATAAAAACTTCATCCAAATAATATCCTATTCATACGCGATGGCAAAGAAAATATTTGCTAATCACATATTTCTTTGTGATTACCAGAATCTTGTCAGAGCTCAGATGTGTGCCAGACAGAAATAATAAAAAAAGGGACCCCAAAATATGGTTGGGTATAGCCACTCACTCTGCTAAGAAATGTCTTTTAGTGCAGTGTTGGCCACACAAAGGGCTGGTTTCCCCAAGTTCTCCAAGGGGGGACCATGGGAACAAGGGAGGAAATGATTGTAGAACTGGGGTTTTGTAGGTTCTCAAATATTTTACAGGCTAGTGAGAGTCTTCTAGACTGTGTTACTACTTTTCCCACTGCAGTAGCACCTTGGGTTTTCTATGCTATTGAAAAGGAGAATGGGGTTCAACTCTGATCATTTTCTCTTGGGGTCTAGTGTTGTGGGCAGCAGGCAAAGCAGTTGAGGCTGGTAAGGGAGCTGTCTCCTCCAAAAGACTTCTTCAACTTCTTTAATGCACCCAATCCCCTGACCATTCTTTGTCACACTGTCACAGTCTGACAATCATTCTGCATTCTGAGGGCTGATGATGAGTGCTCCACAGCCTAAAAAGACTTTCCCTTGAACATTAGTTTCTAGAAAGGCAGCAGTGAAAGGCCCACTTTCAGACTTCAGCAGATGCATATGCTCCTTAAGGGTGGTGGGCAGAGCATGATAAAGGAAGGCGAAGCTCATCTCAGCCCAGAAGACCCCTTGGGATCACCCTGAGGCAGCTTCTGAAGAAATGCTGTGAACTTGAGGTCCTTGGGGAGAGGCTGGCACAGCACCAGAGATTTTTAAAGGGAACCTCTGTACCTTGACATAGGAAGACATGGCACCTTCAGGACCTAAAAAAAATGTCTAAGCCACCAGCTGAGCAGGATACCATGCAGGGTGTTCAAGGCCTAGCTCTTTCCCTGGGTCTGCTAGGTGATTTTTTAAAGTTCCTTTATAATCCTGAGCATCAGTTTTCTCATCTGTTAAGTAGGGATTCCAATGGTTTTGGCTCATGAGTTAAGTGTAAGGATTAAGTGAGAAAATAGCATGTGGCATCAGTAGAACTCTATACCCAAGGGGACAAAGAGAAACAAGCCAAAAAATGTTGACGGGCAAGAGTGGCATGGCTGTTGAGTTCCTTGAGGGGGATCATTGCTATTTTCTCTTCTTTTGATCCATACAGGCAGGACTAGAGAACCAGCCACATTTAGACATAGTAATTTAAGCATCCAGGACCTTGTTGGATTGGTACTCAGATTTCAGAAAATCTTCCAAATGTCAACTCTAAATTTTAGGTACAGTTTCGGTGTTGTTGTAAGGGGTGGCACAGAAAGACAGATCTGTGTGTTGTGTAGCTTTGTGACTGGTGATAAAGAATCAAGGTATTTTCGAGTACTTTTCAAGGTGAGTGAAGGAGTAATTTTTAACATGTTTTAAGACAACCGTAAAAATGTACTCTGTTGTGGTGTAAACCCTTAAAGTGTTGCATTTTTATATAGCTACAGATATTTGTATACTTAGAAATCTCAGAAATAGTAAGCTCTGCTGAAATCGTGAGGCACCTACGTCAAAACCTGGTATAAAATTTTAGTATATTTAGCTTGGTCTGAAATTTGCAAGCATACCACCTGAATATCATCAAGAGGGTGAGTGTTGAGGGGGTGAAAAGACACGTGGAAGGAAAAGATCAAAGCCAAGGGACTAATGTGGAAAAGAACATGTTTAGAAAAGCAACCAGCAATCAAAATCTTGACCAACTCATTCTGAGATAAAACAGAAGCTCCGCACTGCCTTTGGAGGGTCCGTTCACTCAAAGGAGATGAATTTGGCTTCTGTTCTGTTAAAGAAAACGGCTCCATGGGAATTCCTTCACCTCTTTCCCAGCCTGCCTGTGACAGGTTACAAAAGGAGCCCTTTGATTTGGTGATCAGCTCAGCTCTGACCTTCTGCAGAACATTCTGAACTTCAGCAACACAGAGAAAATAAGACAAAAGACATAGGTGCAAAGGGAGTGACCACACACACCTCTGGGAACAGACTGTGGTTTGGGAGAAGGAAGGAAAAAATGAAATAGAAGGGAAAATTTTTCTTTGAAATCTATTTTTGTGTTTTCAGTGCTGCCTTTCCTGTCTCTCGCTCTTTTGCTCTCTCTGAAGTTTATGGCTTGGCATGTAGCTCAAAAAACAAAAGTGTACCTGAACTTTCCTCTTGTTCATTCCTTGCCTTTTCCTTTGGATCAGGCCGGCCTCATCGCAGTGACAAGGCAATGACACTGTGGGTTATCCTGGGCTCCTCTCTTTCTCTCACACCTCACATGTCATTCATCAGCAAATCTGGTGGCTCTAGTTTCGAAATATTTCAGAATCTGCCCAATTTTTCCTTTCCCATCCTCAACTCTGGACCCCACCAGCATCAAGTCTCATAGGAGCAGTTTGGCTGGTGTGAGTTCTCCCTACCCTGCTTCTGCCCTTACTCATCCTCCAGGATCCTCTTATCCCAGCACACTTAAGGATAGGTAGATCAGACCATGCCTCCCCCTTCTCTGTGCAAAATCCTGCCGTGGCTCCCTGGGTCAAAGTGAAAGTCAAGGTCTTTACAACAACCTGAAGGATTCTATCCAATGAGGCTCACCCTGATGGATGTGACCTTGCTCCTTACCCTTCTGCTTGCTTGCTTACTCTGCTCCACCCATGCAAGCCTCCTTGCTGTTTCTTGAAAACACTGCATAATCCCACCTGTGAGCTATGGTAGTGGCTGGTTTTCTACCTGGAATGTTCTTCCCCCAGAAATTGGGGGCTCACTGACTCATGTCCTTTCAAAGGTCACCTCATTGTGCCCTCTGAAGCAGCCTCTTAAAATTTGCAGTGTCTCTCTCTCTCTCTCTCTCTCTCTAGCATTTCCGATTGCTGGCTTATTTTCTTCTTCTTCTTTCTTTATTTTTTTGGCAGTAGTGGGATTTGCATTCAGGGCCTTGCACTTGTCAGGTAGGCGCTCTACCACTTGAGCCACCCCTTCAGCCC